TGAATCGTAGTGCTATATCCCTCTTGGGTTACCACTGCTCCATCAGAGGCCCTACCTCTTCACTGAGCCCTCCCTTAGATTGGACGTAGCGGTAGTTTCTCTTTGGCTGGTATTTGGCACAATTTGGTAGCTTGAGCTCATATTGTCGTTTGGGCTCCCTCTGAACTGCCACTGCTTTATTCCTATCCTTGGTGTACTGCGGCCAGAACCTGTGGCTGCCCGCTGATCTAGAGATGTGCCAGCTCCTATTTCTACGCGGTATCGCTCTCCTAATCGCTGGGCTCCCCCAAGGTGGTTTGTTATTCGCTGCCCTCGGTTTCAGGTGAGCGAATTCATCTTGCAGGAGCAAGACATTTGCCTTGATCAGTCTCCAATGCTGGTCTATAGAGTCGTTTTCGTGGATGGGGGCCGACACCAGCTCCGCAGCTCGAGCCTTCAGCCTTGTCGCATCTATCATTCAGTAGTTTCCAGACATCCTAACATTACTTCTACGGTGCATTAGACTTATTACTGTGGTGATAACGACGTGGTCGCTTTTACCCAGCGGTGGATGGAGGGTAATGTTTGCCAAATCCCTCTCCCTTGTCGTCCAGTAGAGATGGCCTATCTCCATCTCTGTACCTTGTGCACTCCCGGACATGTTGCTGTAGGACCCTCGAGTGCATCCATTCTAAGAATGCACTCTCCGGTGTTCCTGTTGGCGCCCGCTCAACCTTCCAATTTATTTTTGGGAAATTGAAATCTCACAATATACAAACTCCTTGTGTCTATATAAGCTGTCTAGGGCGCCTAGGAGTGCCTGGTCCTCCTCGGGTGCGCATTCTGGGCTTCTGTAGACTCCTGCTATGCTAACCCTCCTCGAAGGTAGAACCAGCGAAAGTGAGCACACCTGGACATTTCGGGTGCACTGTGCTATTTTGTCTTCATGGTGGGGTATATCCTGTCTGATTAGGACAGCTACTCTACCCCCCAGCGTACTCCCTTTCTTGTGTTGTCTGTCGACTGCGCACCGGCTTAAGACTGGTTCGAGTATGTGGTCATTCTGTGTTAGCCACGTTTCAGACAGGACAGGTACCTCAGCCTTTGTTTCCGCAGCCACTGTGGCCAGCTCTGCCCACTTATTCCTAATACTACATGCATTGGCTGCAATAGTACTAATGCCCTCCGGTTGTGTTTGTTCACTCAAATTTTCACATCGGGTGTAGCACCCGGGTAGGCAGCTCATTTTTTGGCTGATCTATAGTGCCGGCTGCTACTGCAACCACCGTTTGCTCTAGCTCGGGAAGCTTGGAAATGTATGCTGGTCCCGGTGATAATATTGGCTGGCCAGATGCAGTATTATTCCATTCCATTGGAGTCTCATTTCCTACCGTGAGGTCCTCAACTATCACCACATTTGGGTTTGCTAAGACCCGTGGTACCCTGGGCAGGTGTTTTAGCGTAGCCCAAACTCGTTCTTTTTCCGTCTTGTAAGTTGATGATCCTATATTCATTACCCTCACGTGAGGTTTCTCAGGGACTATTTTGTAACGCCCTTTAGTCTGCTCGGGATAGTAGTAGATCCTCATCTGGCGAATTCCACTAGTATGGGTCTAGCGAGTGCCTGCGGTGCTTCCGGGCGTGGTGGTTTCCACCTTCCAACCTGATGCACTCTCCCAATTGCTGTTAGGCGGAGCCCCGGCTAACCTAAGTATATCATGGACTCTACGCCTGTCGGTTTCCCTACGAGCCTTTGATTCCCTCATATTCGGCTCCCCATGGTTAAGTATGAGGAGGTTTCTTCGAAATTCAACTTTGGCGATACTTACTGCAAGGAGGGTTCTCACTTGCTTCTTCAGCTCCTGAAGGTTCTTCTAACCTATCTCTACTCCCTTGTGAGGGAATGACATTTCTACCCGCTCTAGGTTTTGACCCTCAGTGTGGCTTAGGACGGTTTACACTCTGAAGTACGCTGGAGTTCACCACATGTAGCGGCTTATGTAACGCTGTGGATACTGCTACTGCCTTCCAGGTCCTAGGCAAAACTGTTTGCCCAAAACTCTCCATGCGGTTTCCTCTTTTCTTGGCTTGAGACGACCTGAGCGTAAGTTCTCAAGGTTCCACTGATTGGTTCCGACTCTTTTGGGGTCTCGAGACGATCACTGCTCAGCTTGCTTCTGGCTTCTGACTACCGCTTAGCGAACGCAGACCTGGCCGCAACCCTACACCACTCACAAAGTCACTCTACCCAGATAATTTTGAAGAATGCATAGCGGTCTTTGCTGATGCATGAACAACCAGAATGCACCCACCTCTTGCGGGTTTCCCATTCGCTCACCTTTACCACCTTTCCGCAGCTATAAATCAAGCATGGATAGGACACTCGCGTCATTATAAGGTATACTTATTTGAGTACAAGTGATCAAAACGCAAAACAATGATACGGAAAACGACAGGTGAATACGATACGTACAAACGTTACACAAAGCCAAGGTTAAACATTCAAGTTGGCT